GAAAAGTTGTGTGATTAAATAATAGATGGAACGGCAGCTTTACTAGATATCTGAGAGATGGTGAACGGACCGAGTATATAGGAAACCCTTACCGTGAACGTTGTCTCATACCGGACGGAGTATTGAGGTTTAATAAACTTGGCACTCATACCCGGACGAGGCATGTAGACGCGCTGTAATTGAGATTGTTAAAGGAAATGGGTCACGTGTAGTAGGGACATCCCTATGAGCCTCCATGGATACTAGTAGGCTGGTGAAAAGGTAACAGTTATGTTTGGTTATTTGAATATGTGTATAGATTTATGATATGTATTATGTTGCTAATCTTACATGAAATTATGATCCGTATGATATCATTATCTGCACAAGTTATTTTCATAAATTCAATTGTGGTAAGTGAATGGTAAATGATTTTATGATTGATAAATAGATTTGCTAAATTTAGTGCTCTATTAATTGTTTTTATTTTTATACTCATCTTTATTTCTGTGTCGGTGATATACTGTGATATCTTTACTGGGGTAGTATACCTCATTCTTTATTTAACCGTTTCAGATCAAGAGGATCAGATTTCAGAGCCCGATCCACAAGAAGATTGTGAGTAGATGCTAGATATTTTCTCTTTTCCGTTTATTTCCTTATTTCTTGTGTTTCTTTCAAAATGGTGAATTATGTAATGTTGTTTAGTACTTTTAAATTATTGTGTAAGGAATGTATATCTTAACTTTTTTATTTCGATTCCGTACTTAAGTTATTATCTTTTTTTTTTTTTAGATTTTCGGAACCGTTACAATAATATTAATAAAAAATAAAAAATACATATAAGCATGGTGAATTTTTTATGAGCAAAATTTAGTATGTAAAAACTTAAACCTAAATTTGTCTTGCATTGCACATAGTTTCCTATCAACTGAATCTTAAACCATAAATTTATTTGGAATACTGCATTGAGTCGGGTGGTTTGGATAGAATAATTGCCGACGAAGAATATAACCCTAATTTTAATTAATATTTACAGGAATAATAAAATGGGCATGCATGTTCTTATTCTACATATAACTTTTTAAGTTTATATAGAGTGATACATATATTCAATAAGCTTACAATAACTTATATTTTGTCTTATTATACAAAAATTAAAATTTCAAAGTTTTAGAACTGTAATAAATAAAACTAAAAAAAGACTTATTTTTTTTAAGGGAAAAAATTTTTTCTTCATTGTCTTGAGGTAGAGAGTTGCGATTTCAGATTCTTAAATATTTAATCTGTTTTTTCTTTGCAGCTCTACCGATCTTGCTTTTTAAGTTCAGTTGTTGTAGTCTTAAACTTTAACAAGATCTTTTTCATTGTTCGTCATCCAAAGATTATTTTTGATATTATCAAATATGACTAGTCTTACTTATTACTTAATTAAGAAAGACAGTTCAGTTGATTGGCAAAACTCAAAGAAAAATTTAGTATATTTATTTTAAACGAGAGACAAACAATAGCATTTTATTTCAAATATTTCAAATACGATTTACAATTAGAAACATATTTAGAAATTTCTGCTACATGGTTCATAATTTATTATTTATACTAAATTTATATCATAATTTTTTTATTATAATTTAATAGATTCTCTCATATTTAATAGTATTGCTCTAAAGTAGGCAATCTAATAGTTGGTATCGCCATTAAAGGATCCAATTTTCTCACTACGATACCAAATTTTTCAGATGAATTCAGATTTGTAGCATTTTCCACTTTCCAATCAAAAGAATGTAAGAGAGTGGCTAACACATTCATTACCATCTTCTCTGCTAAATTAATCCCGGCGCATATTCTCCTCCCTGATCCAAAAGGTAGATAATTGAAATTATTTCCTCTGTAATCACCAATTTCTGGATGTTCAAAGAATCTCTCAGGTTGAAATTTAAGTGGATTTTTCCAAGTCTCATGATCTCTCATTATTGACCAAACATTAATAAAAACACTTGAGCCTTTAGGAATGGTGTAGCCGGCTATAGTTGTTGACACACTGGGACTGTGCGGGATAAGAAGAGGACCAACTGGATGTAATCTCATTGTTTCTTTCACTACAGACTGTAAATAATGTAGTTGGTTTATATCACACTCTTCTACAATCTTTTCATTACCAACAACTCTCTCCAATTCTTCGTGTACTTTTTTCATTATATCTGAATTTTTTAATAATTCTGTCATTACCCATTCTACCGTAGTCGATGATGTCTCTGTTGTTGCCGAAATAATATCCTGTACATATATATAAACAAAATTATTAACATCTAAATATTTACGTATAAATTAAGTTTTAACTTACCAGTAACAAAGCCTTGATGTTAGTCATGGAAAATAGCATCTTTTCATCTTCTTGCTGCATAAGCTCCAACAAAATTTGCAAAAAATCTTTGCTTTGGTTACTCGTCTTCGTGCTTTTTTTTATTGCAATCACTGATTCAAAAATATTATCGAATCGCAATCTGATCTTTAGCATTTTTGATACAATTCCTTGTAAATCCAACGGGGCAAGGATAGGAAAAAAATCAGAAATATTAGGTTTTCCCAAAAGATCAACCGCCTCCTCTATAAATGGCACGAGCTCCAACCCAACATTATGTTTTTTATCTTCATCTAAAGGGGCACCCCACAGCATGCCCATTACTACATTCAAAGAAATTAAGAACATATGATTCCGAACCTTTATGGGTGAGCCAACTTTTGCATAGATTTCCTTCACCATCTCTCGCACCTCTCTTCGACGAAGGCCATAAGAAGCATCAAAATATGTCTTGCTCATCATTTCACGAATAAGAACCTTGCGCAAGTTTCGCCATTCAGGACCGTTTGGCCTCCATAATATGTTACCGCCACCATATGTTTCAGCTATTGCGGCTGCTGGGGGATCACGGTTAGCAAAAATTTCATCATCTTCCTTGAGGACTTTTCTGGCCAATGAAGCTGAGTTTATGACGACGTAGATTTTGGTACCCATTTGAATTTTGAAGATTGGGCCAAACTTTTTAGACAATTTGGAAAAATAAATATGAAGATCCGGTTCAACAAAAGGAAGATTTCCTAGTAAAGGCAAGCCTCTTGGACCAGGCGGCAATGGTGGCTTACCTCTCATGGCTATCTTCATCAACCATTTATACCCAACAAATATGGTGACTGTTGCAACCAAGATACTAACCATTATCGTCGTGTGCTCTGCCTCCATCCACAGTGACCACCCTTCAAGCATCATATTGAATAGTTTGTCGCTAATATATAACTTCAGTTAATATTTAGAGGAAGAATGTATGTGTGCGTATGAATACTCTTTTGGAAAACTAAACGGGATTTGTATGAAATCTAAATGAGCAGAGAAGCTCAAGAAGAAGAAACTGGAGAGACGATCGGGAGAGCAGAGGGAGAGAGACCTTGTTTGTTATAATCAAAAATGAAAGCTGCTTTGCATCAATCACCTTTACAGTACTTATACAGATGAAGGTATTCAAGTTTAATTATCCACTAACTGCAACTAATCACTCTAACAATTATTAATTACAGCTAATTATACTAACCAACATCTGACTACGGTTAGCTTTCATCTAACTTCAGTTATGTGATGTGTCTAATCATCATCAATTTTCATCTTATCAATTCGGCAGCTATACACCTCTATACACATATACACACAGCTCCAGTTACATTTAATATGTACCGCGGAAGACTTCTGAAAATCTTCTATGAAGATGAAAAATATAAGACCATTATTGCTCCTTCGAAATATCTAAGATTGTACACTTTGGAGTGTTGCATTTTTTGTTTCCTTCTTCATCATGGACGTCCTTTTTTTTTTTTCTGGACGTAGAAATCTGAAATTTCTGAGTGTCATACATGTGTAAAGTTGACGAGGACTTATAGTTTAAAAAACATGATTACTTTAAAAAATAACATTTATTTTGTTTGGTAAAATAAATGTTGCAACTGAAATATAGCAATTATTAAATTTTTTTAAGAGACCATATATATTGTATAATTCATATTATATTATACATAATACATAATATATACATGATATACATATATATTACTTAAAATAAAAAATTACATATAAAAAGCTTGGTATGGGCAAATTTTGATGTGTTCTGTAAATAATTTCCTATCAATTTGAATCTGCTCAAATCTGGAACCATAAATTTACTTGGATAAAATCGATTCCAAACAATCCCTAATTTTAATAATATTTACACGAATAGCAAATATGTAGATGTGCATGTTCTGAGCGTACAGACTATAACTTTTCAAGACCATATTGATTGAATGTAAGATGATAATCCTTAAAAATATTGAGTATGAAAAAATTTGTGGTGTTCTATTTTTTTTTTTCCTTCTCAATTATGGACATCTTTTTTCTTTTTGTTTTTTTTCTTTTGGCTACGAGAATCTCAAAATTTTAAAAAAGTAATACATATACTCAAGTTATGATAAGCTGATAACAGCTTATATCTTATCTTGTTGTACGAAAATTAAGGGTAACTTTTCTTTTTGTCGTGTTGAGATAGAGAGTTATAATTGCATATTCTTGAATATAAAATCTATTTTTTCTTCACGTTTGTACCAATCTTGCTTTATGAGTCGGATGGATGTTACCACAGTTCTAAACTTGAGAAGATTTTTTTCAGTGTTCATCGTACTGATATTATTTTTAATATTATCAAAGATGACCCGTCTTGCTTATTACATAATTGACAAAAAAAAATTTAATCAATTAGCAAAAAGTATAAGAAAGATTTAGTATATTTATTTTAAATATGAGTGAATAATAGTATTTTATTCCAAATATCTCAAATATGTTTACAATCATAAACATATTTAGAAATTCTCACCATATGCTCTGAAATTCATTATTTATACTAAATTTATCTCAATAACGGAATCTCTCACATTTAACAATAACTACTCAACTATCATTCAAATTTCAACAATATTGTTCTAAAGTAAGCAATCTAGCAGTTTATATAGCCACTAAATGATCTATTTTTCTCGGTACTATGTCAAATCTCTCAGATAAATTTAGATTTGTAATGTTTTCTACTTTCCAATCAAAATAATGTAAGAGAATGGCTAGCACAAACATTATCATCTTCTCTGCTAAATTAATCCCAGTGCATATTTTTCTCTCTGATCCAAAAGAAAGATAATTGAAATTAGTTCCTTTATAATCACTAAGTTCTGTATGTTCTAAGAATTTTTCAGACATAAATTTAAGTATATTTTTTCAAATATTAAGATCTCTCATTATTAACCAAATATTAATAAAAACACTTGAGCCTTTAGGAATAGTGTAGTCAGCTATAGTTGTTGAAACATTGGGATTATGAGGGACAAGTAGAGGAACAATTGAATGTAATCTCATTGTTCTTTTACCACTTTATGCAAATAACACAGTTGGTTTATATTAAACTCTTCTATAATCTTTTCATTGCCAACAAATCTTTCTAATTCTTCATGTACTTTCTTCATTGTAATTGGATTTTTTAGTAACTCTGTCATTACCCCTTCTACCGTAGTCGATGATGTATATGTTGCTCCTGTAATAACATCCTGCACACGTAAATAAGCAAAATCATTAACATTTAAATATACATGTATAAATTAAGCTTTAACTTACCAATAACAAAGCTTTGATTTCAGTCACATGGAAAGTGGATCTTTTCATCTTCCTGCTGCATAAGATCCAATAAAATTTGTAAAAAGTCTTTGTTTTTATTATTTGTTTTTGTACTTTCTCCATTAACTTTCATTTTTACTACAATCACTTATTCAAAAATTCTATGAAGCCATAACCTGAGCTTTAACATTTTTTATACAATTCCTTATAAATTTAGCAGTGCAAGGATAGAGAAAAAATAAAAAATACTAGGTTTGCCCAAAAGATCAATCATCTCCTTTATAATTTCCTTGAACTCCAATCCTATATTATTTTTTTCATCTTTATCCAAAGAAGCACCCCATAGCATGCTCGTTGCTATATTTAAAGAAATTAAGAACATATGATTCCGAACTTTTATGGGTGAGCCTACTTTTGCATAAATTTCTTTCACCATCTCTCACACCTCTCTTCGACGAAGGTCATAAGAAGCATCAAAGCATGTCTTGTTCATCATGTCATGAACAAAAACCTTGAGCAAATTTCGCCATTCAGGACCATTTGACCTCCATAATATATCAAGTCCATCATATGTGAGATCTACTGCGGCTGGGGGATCATGGTTAGCAAAAATTACATCATCTTCCTTGAGGACTTGTCTGACCAATGAAGCTGAGTTTACGACGATGTAGATTTAAATACCCATTTGGATTTTGAAAATTAAGCCAAATTTTTTAGACAATTTAAAAAAATAAATATGAAGATTAGATTCAACAAAAGGAAGATTTCCTACTAAAGGCAAGCCTCTTGGACCAGGTGGCAATGCTAGATTTCGTCTCATGGCTATCTTAATCAACCATTTACACCCAACAAATGTGGCAACTGTTGTAACCAAGATGCTAACCATTATCTTCGTGTGCTCTTCCTCTACCCACCGTGACCAACCTTCAAGCATCTTGTTAAGTAGTTTGCGGCTAATATATAACTTTAATTGATATTTATAGGAAGAACGAATATTTGTCCAAGCATACTCTGAGTTTATATATATATATAATATGTGTTGTGGAAGACTTCCTTTGACAACCCAGTATAAACATAAGAAATATAAGATCGATTATTGCTCTTTTTAACGAATTTGCTGGTGAAAATCTCAAATTTCTAAAAGAGTCGTATATGTGTAAAACTGACAAAGATTTATATTTTACCCCACTATACAAAAGTTAAAATTTTTAAAATTGAGAATTGTAATAAAAAAATATATTTTTTTAGGGTAGAAATTATTAAAATTTATTTATTTAGTCAGTCGTACGAACCCTTTTTTTTATTATTTTTTTTTTTTGGTGACTTTATCAAGCTTGCTTTCTAAGTAGAAATGCTCCATCCATATGGCCCCATATTTATTGGAATTACTGTAGCATTTTAAAAAGTTGAATAGACATCGTTGTAGGGGTTACTGTAGTTTTCAACTTGAGAAGATTTTTATTAAAAATATATATATGTATAATATATACCGTGGAATTGAGTGAAAAATTGACTAAAATACTCTATAAAGAATAATCATTTAAGACATTTTCAAATCAGAATAACACCACTAATTTTTTACGTTATAAAAAAGAATAATTTACTGAAAAAAGAAATAACAATTGGAATCCAAGAGTTATTCAAGTTTCAACATCATTGCTGGGAGTAAGCAATCCAGTAATTAGTGGAAAGACTAATCTCTTAAATAAGTCAAAGTTCTCCACCGTCTAGCAATTTCCAATCAAAAGAATGTAAGAAAATGATTAATATATATTAATACATATTTTTTCTTCCTAATCCTAATTGAAGATAATTAAAATTATTATATAATCATCAAATCATAAATCGTTCAAAAACTTTTCAGACTGAAATTATAAGGGAGTTTTTGTCATGTCTTAAAATTTTTCATTATTGATCATATGTTACTAATACATTATTATAGCCTTTAAGAATGGTATAACCGAGTAGAGTTGCTTTGTCATTTTCACCACAAGCTCCAAATTATTCATGGGTTTTTTTTTATAATATTTAGATTTTATGATAGTTTTATTATTATTCATTATATGCCAGTGGATAATGTTTTTGTTAGTCTTATGATAATCTTGGAGGCATGTGTATATAGAAACCATTAGACACTTTATATAGAATATGTGTGACCAGTAATTAATATTAATTCAATGTTCGTGCACAAAGTGAACATAGTTTTAACAGTAGTCATGGATAAAGAGATTTTCGTTAATCTTTTTCTGTTTCTTTCGTTAATCTTTATTTTTTTGAACTATTACTGATTCAAAGATTCTCTCAATTAAAAGTCTAACTTTCGTTATTTTTTATACAATTCCTTATAAATCAAATAAGAAAATAACATAAAAGAAATCAAAAATGAGTTTGCGGAAAAGGCCAAAAATCTCCCCTATCACTTGCCTAAACCCCCAAAGTTGAGATATTTTTCTCGTCCAAATGCAAGGAGCCATCCCCTAACATACTCATTAGCACATTCGAAAGATGAATCCAATTTTTGTCAATTTTCTTTTCGATATCTCTTACCGTTGTCGATGAAGTGAATAAGAGGCGTCAAGGCTTGTTTTACCATTTAGTCCCATTTGGCGTCAATAGCATGTTAAGTCCAAAGAAAATTGCATTATCTTCCTCCGAGACTTGATTGGCTAATGAAGGTGAATTTATAACAATGTAAATTTTGCTACCCATTTGGATTTTGAAAATTAATCTTTTAGTTCAGACACAATGTAATGTTAAAATCTCTTTTTAGTTTTGATTTTGATTTAGAAAATAAATAACAATGAAGATATCATGTTTATGGTTAAAAAAAAAAACTCTAATTTAAAAAAATTTAACACTTGTGTTGTACAAAAACTATATTGTTTTGTTTTTAGCATGAACCAAAAGATCTGAGTGCAGATTTAACCACAGACTCGACAGACCAGGTTTGGCAACCCAATCCTCTGTCTTTGAAGGTTTGCTCGATCCATGCATGAATTTATAGAACAAAAATTTTTGGTTCCGACCATAAATCGTTTACATACTTAGTTTATAGTCAGTAAGAATAAATTTTATCAAGAAAAACTAAATAAAATTCAATTTTCTTATTCGTGTTAAACGCATGTACATTCACCAATATAATTTCAATAATTTTAATACAAAATCAAAATTGAGTCGAATGCTAACTTTAAATCGGTGAGTAATAAAATTCTAATCAGTTAACCGACTAATATACATGTGATTTTATTCTATATTGATATGGGTTGTGTTTGGTATCATCAAGTTCATAAAAAATTGCAAGAACTCATTTTCTTCCTCAGACCATTTTTGGTGCATTATAACTGATTCTTTCTGCTAAAACTGATTGAAAATCCTACCTGACCAGAAATGAATTCCTTGGAGATCAAATTATGCAAGGGAAACAGATCAAAGATGTTGAAAGATTGAGCCATAGAAAAAGACAATTCAGGATAATATCGAAGTGCTGCGTCAAAGAGGATGGCTACAGTCCTAATATTACTGACAGCCTGAACATACTCTTCAGATCGGATTACCAAGATGATTTTATGTTTTAATTGTTTCTGGGGAGGAGAAGTACCGAACTGGATGCTACCTAGGTAGTTGCTCAATCTACTTAGACAGAGATTCCACAAATACTAAATTTTCTTTGGCATCTTATGCAGATAGTATCTGTTTGATTTTATAACATGATGTAATATATATTTGAGGCGTCTGTCTGCGTGCAGGACATTGTTGTCTAAAGGCTTCCAGTACAAATATCTTAACTTCCAAAGGAGCTTTCAACTTCCATCCAGCTGATTGAATAGAGTCCAACCCCTAACTTAATGCTATTTGAGCTCTGAAAATGCCCGAGAGATTTAACTAAGCAACACTGATTTGCATTAAACTTCCAAACTTACCAATCACTACTATCCCTTTGAAGAATCATTAAACCTTAAAAAGGTCCAAACCCCTCCGAGCCAAAAAGCTCCCCCTAGCACCTAACCACCCAAACCCAAGAGTGTCCTAACCAAAAAACATCTTACTTATTCACCGAGTTGAGTCTAAGTGGCAAAATTTAAGGAGCACAGTTCTTAATGGCCCATTACCAACCTAAACATTCAAAAAAAACTCCCATTTCCAATGCAAAAACCAACTTATTTCCTTGCTAATTATCCTCTGTAGCCTAGTAACAAAAAGAAAGCATATTGATGACCAAGCAATCATTGCCATCTCAATATCTGCCCCTCCTAACACTTCCTATTATTGCAACATCAATAGAACTGACCTAACAGCTGAAATGTAGTATTGACAGTCAACTCACAATTAATGGTTAAAACTAATTACCACTCTTAACATCTAACCCAAAATTCATATAGAGGACAACCACTAAAAAGTGAATTACTAATTAAATCTCGACGTTAATCTTTCAAAAGCTGTGAATAAGGTACACATCCATACTGTAAAAGGGAAAAGGTAACAACACCTTGATCGTTCAGAATGTCCAGACCATAACACAAAGACTCAAAATTGCAATATTCTAAACCCCAGACTACGCCACGAGAGTGCTGGCAGTCGTAGACTCACTGCAAAGCAAAAAATTGAGCTGATCAAAATCATGACATATGCTAAGAATCACATGCAAATAAAAAGGGATGAGAAGATTGCAAGTGAGTCCAACATTCCCAGATGAGCTACAGGATTTGAGATTCATGATTCTCAAATCAAAAGTTCCAAAACTGTTGCTAGGAATGCCAACCAAAACAAGGTTCTTACAACTAAATAAGAAAAGTTAAAAAAAAAACGCTTTGCAGTAGTCAGTGAAAGAAGCAAGAACACCAATGAAGTCAAATATCATTTCTATTTCGAATTCCATTTCCCGTCCAGAGGGTGTTAGGTTGTGATCACATAGAAGATCAAAATGGGCTTCCACTATGGATCAAATGTATCAACTTCATCTTTTCCATTAATACTTGTCACAAGGAAATTTATCAAAAATGCTTGTCATCAGGTTATTCTAATGCAAGAAACGGAACAAAACTTATAGAGCAACAAACTTCCCCATACTACTGTCAACTGCAAAAGAAGACCAGGAAACGAGTTACAAGTATGAGGGATGCCAGTATATTTCAATCACTGTAAAAATGGAGAGATGACTAAAAACAATTAAGACAATTAAGACCACAAAAGTTGAAAAAGCTTTAAAAAAATATTTTCACAAGACAAAAAAAAAAAAAACCTTCACAGAAGAGACACAGACTCTTGAACGGAAGACAAAGTATGCTTGAAAACCAATGGCTACCAAAATCAAAAAGAAAAAAGAAACTGACAAGCATAGAACTCTAAGTATTTCATGGGAAAACAAGAAAGAAGCAAATTGAACAATAGACTGACTGAACTAAATCTACCTGAATTCACAGAATAAGTTACTCAAGCTGACATAAACAATGTCTAACCAAGCAAAAAAAAAAAAGAACAGCAGACTTACTATTTCCAGACAGGAGGAAGCTTCTTTGTCTTCTTATAGTAGCGAGCAAGCCTGTGAATCCGGCTCTCAACAAGAATCAACCTGAACTTCGAATCCTTGTCCTTCCTGTTTCTCTCCAAATGCTTGCGGATTGCAACAGCCTTCTTGATGAGGTGATACAGATCCTCAGGGATCTCAGGAGCAAGACCTACAACAAACCATTTTTACATTCCATAATGCAGCCATTGATTTCCTTCTCGAATTCTTTATTTTACCAACTATGAAGATGCATAGTGTCTACGTAAGGAAATAATAATTCACCATGAGCCTTGAGGATACGCAAGATCTTATTTCCAGTAACGCTCTTGACCTGAGCAATACCATGAGAATCACGAAGAATGACACCAATCTGGGATGGAGTCAGACCTTTCTTGGCAAATTTGCAGATGTTCTCCTCAACCTGAAACACAATATCACAAACCCGCTTGCCAACTAAAATAACTATTGACAAATTAATCCCATCTAGAATAGGTGACTTAACCATATACGTTCTATCTTCCAGGAAATGCATTATAACTCCATCCAACCCCCCCTAAACATAGAGCAACTACAGTTTGGCTTAGTCTAATCAGCTTAAAGCATGAAAAGTTCAAAATACATAATTCTTTGACTATTTCTAATTTACGCTTCACTATATTCGCGAACAATAAACAAATTCCGAGAGCACAACATGATTTTCAGCATACAGAGACAAGTATAAGGAGATTATAAATAATTAGCTTCGTTGACTCACATCTTGAGAAGAGATCTTGAGCCAGCTCGGTGGCGTCCTCTTGTAAGGCAAAGCTGATGCCGATATACCCTTACTTCAATCGAGTAATGCAGAAACTATACAAAATCAGAACACAACGAACCTGAAATACGCAAACAAATGAAAATAGAGAGAGATGGCGAGAAAAACAAACCCTCGACTGTGCATACGACCCATGGTGACAGATGAGATGTAGTTGAAGCTCTCCGGTTAGCTGCCTGCAAAAACCTAGATTTGTAAAGAGATTTGAGAGCAGCGACTAGGATTTAGGTTTTATATACCCCCCAGCACAGTTTGGCAACGGGATGGACTCCATCTACCCCTAATTTACAATCACATCCTCGAATTCTAGTGTATGGATACTTCGGTGTTCGGCCCTAATCTGTATACGAGTTGGGCCTTTGTTCCCTTTAACTGGTTTTACCAAAGCCTTTGTCCAACCAGCGAAGAGAATTGGGGACGACCACTATTTAAAATTTTTTAAAATATCAAAATAAAATTTAATTTAACTAATTACAAAAAATATACCCTACAATATTTAAATATAAAAATAAATTTTAATGATATAAATAGTAATTTTTTATTTAAAAATTTTAAATATACAATAAAAGTTTAATTTTGATAATTTATAATTTATATAATATAAATTAACATCAATAATATATTGAAAATTTGTAAATTATATTATCTACTATTTAGAAAGTTCAAATATTTATAAATTTTTGGGCTGACCTCCTCAAATGGTCCTTATATCAATAAGGTGTTTGGGCGTTGGACTGGATTATAACCCATCAAAAAATTTTATTTAAAAAAAGTAATTATGGTCACGCACTCATACATACATATATATATATATGCATATATATATATATATATATATATACGAGATTATGTTTCATTAACTTGTCCGTTAACTAGCAATTCTTTTTCTTTAATTGAGGAACTAACTAACGTTGGATCATATACCAACATTTATTCATACCCACATTAAAATTTGTAGTGCTTGGCCCACGACATGTGTGTGTATAGATATATATGTGTATATATATATATTATATATGAGCATATATTAAATATATCAAAAGTGGTAGTGCCTTATAAATTACGTGGGCTCAATATTATGTGCATGGTTGGGTTCATCGCGACGCCAGTACCATCAACCTTTAACTTTTTGTATTCATTCGCCATCCCTCCTCTCTTTTTCTACCCACCACCCATATATTCTTCTTTTGCCAAAAGAAATGCTATTGGCTTTTGGGTATGTTGACTCTAACCATCCAAAATGAGCTTCTTTTTTTAATCTTTTCTACGAATACATACATATATATGTATATGGGGCAAAGTGTAAAGTGTAAATACCTTAATTAATTAAGGGATTTTCCATAGTCAAACATTAATTAAGATGTATATCTTAAACAAACTAATGAATTTATGAATAAAAATAATTCGCAACTTAATTTTAATTTATACACTCGAAACATTAGTTTATTCAAAATAAAGCATTACATTTCATTTTTCAATTGATTTTACTCTTTTTTTTTTTATTATTTTCACATTTAATTTTATTTATTTTTATCAATTTAAATTTTAAAAATTAAAAATTATACAAATCATTTATTTTTGTAATTTTTACCTCTACATGAACCCTCTACGACTAGCTTAGATTATAAAAAAAATAAATCAATGAGCAAATTATAAATAAATAAAGAGTTTTAAGAGAAACTTAAAAAACCAACTAGCTAAAATAACTAAATATTTTTAATAGTGGAAAAAATTAAAATATACATTTGATAAAATTAGTGCTAAAAATTATAATGTGAAATTTCTATAAAATAATTTTAATATTTATTAATTTTTTCATTAAAAAAATTTAAAATCAATCTTACTAAATGCATGTTTTTTTATTTTTAAAAGATAATAATATTTTCTATAATTATTTATATTAAATATTACATAATTATTTATTAATAATATTTTTAATAAAAAATTATCTTAAAAAATATTTTTAAAGTTAACATTGTTGAAATTAAATCAATATTAAATGAAAGAGAGTGAACACAAAAATGTATTTAAATACATATTCGAAGAAATCTTTACGTAAAACGATAAATTTTTTAAATTAACACGTGATTTTTTTATTTTTTTTGTTTGCTGATAGGATAATAAGAAAAATAAAATATTACGTGTGATTTTAGAACCACAATCGTCTTTTTATATTGTCAACATATTGTAATATAAACTCATATTTTCAACGTATTATAAATAAGGTATCTGCATATATTATAAACTGGTACTTAAAACTGATGCATTAAGTCGCACAACTATCTAATCGATCACTTTAAACGGATTAAATAAATTGATAACCTGTTTCTTACACCAAAACTCAGCATTTGCAGGAAACTAAATGACATATTAAATTAAAGCTCACTTAATTTATATCTCTGTATTTGGAGGAAACTCTCCTTCTGTTTGGTATAGGAAATGGAGATGGCTTCTACCTCTGCAAAGTGCCAAGAAAGTAACAAAAAGGGAGTTATAGTTGTAAAGTCCAAAGGCATATTGCAGGTTGCGAATAGATCCTCCAAACCACTCTCGATAAAAATACCATTTAGATAGCCCTTGCTGCTTTACCAACCCAATGCACATGCCTATAAAGCATCACCTTTATTTATAATATATATATACATACTTACATATACATGCACCAAAAAACCCTCCTTTTTAGGTGTTAATGAAATGGGTTTTTCTTTAAGCTACTAATCTTATTCTTATCTACAACTCTGCAATTTGTGAAAACCCAGATAAAGTTTATACTTATATTAGATATACTGTTTACTCTTGATATACATACATACGTACATACATATATAAACACACACGAATGTAATTAAATGCATAATTCGAAAATTAAGAGATGGGTTTGCATAAAAGTTTTTAAATTGGTGATGCCGCGAAGGTTCCATACATTCTTTGTTAGGCATGTATGTGGTCCTGTCTTGAAACACATAGCAACAAAAAAAATAAAAAAGTTACTTACAAGTGCTACTCAATCTTCCTTTTTTCGGGCCTTTAAACAAACTCAAAATACAAAAATGACAAGTCCACGCATCCCATTTTATTAAATATAATTTTAAAATAATTAATTTCAATAATTTAATAATTACTTAAAACTTATTTTTATCACTATTCTTACGTAATACATGATAATTTCAAAATTTTAAAAATTTATAGGAAGAAAAATTATTTGTCATAAATATATACTACCGTCCACAACGCAAGCCGACTAAAATATCCGTAATAATAATAATTGCTTCGAGTGGTCCTATTCTCAACTATCTTCATTACCCATATACAAATATATACATATATATATATATAAGTTACAATTTTTTAAAAATTAAAAAAATACCCATTTAAATTAACGTTATATAAATTATACGGTAACATAAAAATTGATTTTAAATTTAAAATAAATAATTGATTTTATAATTTGAAGAGAGGGAATCGAGGATAGGTAAGTGGAGGGGAGAGAGAGAAGAGAGCAAAGTGTCGAATTTAAGTCCTGACACGACGCTACCAGCTACGAACACGAAGAAATATAATTTGAAAATTCAATAAAATATTTTTCACGGTTCTGAAAATCCAACCGTTGGCTAATCAGAAACCACCCTCGTAATTTGTACTCGTAAATTTGCCCTTTATTTGAATTTCTAGATCACATACGACGCCGTTTGTCCTATGTAATTCCTTTTCGCGAAACAGCAGGCACATTTTGTTTTTGATTTACTTGAATTTCAAACCGATTAAATGAAGGTTGCAGCATACATAAAATAGGATTTGATGCGGGTGATTCAAACATTTTTTGAATTCCGCCTCCCACACAGTGAGTGGGATGGAATCTACTGTCTCCCGTATATTTAAATAACTACTCGCCTGACTAGCCGCTCGTACCAATTTTCTGACCACGTGGCATACGTAGATCTAGAGAGATTTAAAGTTTAAGCGGGACCCACTGTTTCGATTAACTTTTTAGAAACCGTCCGATCGATGGATGATTGCACGAAATTTCTTTAGCTCGAAAAAATAAAAACAGCCAAAAATCTGTATCTTTAGTTCAAATTTGATGACCTGTCAAATTAAATTTTAAAAAATTATTAAAACCCAATTAACTATTTAATTTTTAAAATTTAATAACAATTTTTTTTTTTTTTTTTTTCGAATTTGAATTTTAAATATGATAATTAATGGTGACGGCCGGTTGTTGAAGACACCGGTAATATTGTTGACTTGCGGGTTACTCTCTTAGTTACCACTCATAATCTGTAATTATTGGATATATATATTGCGTATACTACTGGAAACAGCACTTTCTAAAAACATATTTCATGTTTGGTTATAATTTTGTACTCGCCGTATCATTTATTAAAGCTTTGAAATTATAAAATTATTTAAGAATAATTATGTCAACTTTAATTAAATTACACCAGAAAATTTAAAACTAATCATAAAATCTAATTGAGATTGGTAAAAAGAATAGTTAAAACCTAGAATCATCAACATAATTCATGATGCAAAAGGAAAAATTTCCCCCCCTCAATAAGCATAATTGATTATACAATGTACCCATGCTATTATAATTATAGTCATTATAATTTTGTTTTGAAAAGGGTAAGTGCGATACAGTCTAAAATACCATAAAGATGTTCACATGCCATTTTACCCTCATACACTTTATTTTTCAGAATGATCGTCAGTGGTCAACCATGGTCATTTATCTCTCTCTCTCTCTCTCTGAAGTACATCAGAAATACAACCCTGTATCTCACTCGCACCGTAATGTATAAGAGGTCAATAAATCTAACGGCTAAGATTCGACTCTTTTTTTTTTTTATTTCACCGATGCTGTCAGTTTACTTTATTTTATTTTATTTATTTATTAACTCAAAGAAGCATGGGGTAACTCTGTATCTTTGTCTCCCCCTGACTGTCTTCTTCCCTCCCCAAATGAGTTAGTTGCAGAAAGAAACAGAGAATTAAAACTGAACCGGAGAGAGTTTCAAAAGAGAGACAGAGAAAGAGAAAACCCCATCTTCTTCTACTTTGAGCTAAAACAGGTTATGGGTTTTCCTGTTTTTCTCTTCTCTTTACTTGTTTTCTTAACGACTCCGAAATGGGTCTCTGCAAGTACTGAGCTCAGAGCTCTCTTGGATGTGAAAGCTGAGCTCGACCCAGATGATCAATACCTGTCCTCTTGGTCAGCCGACGCCGACCCTTGTGATGGTTCATTTGAAGGAGTAGGCTGCAACGAGAAGGGACAAGTAGCTAACATTTCGCTGCAGGGAAAAGGGCTCCCTGGTAAAGTCTCTCCCGCCATTGCACGGCTCAAGCACTTGACAGGGCTCTATTTGCATTATAACTCTCTGCACGGAGAAATACCCGCAGAAATAGCCAACCTGACAGAGCTCACCGATCTTTACTTGAATATGAATAATCTGTCCGGCGAAATTCCTCCCGAGACTGGGAACATCGGTAGTTTGCAAGGTAAGTTTTGGATTTATATATTTCTTTTCCTAGAAGTTTTGAACTTTAAAATATCTCTTTTTAGTTTTTGGTCTGTATTGTTCAAGTTCGCTTCCTTTTTGACATGAGCTCAAGTTTGAATGGTCTGAACTTTTTTTCCCCCTTCCTTGATTATATCTTGTTTTAATGGTAATCTATATCTGCTGCAGTACTTTAAATAGTTTTACTCAAACGGGTAATCCATGAAGTTTCTACAGAGTTTTTATGAGTTCTAAGTGAAATTTAAAATTGCTTTATGTGGAAATTGTCTCATTTGGGAATCAGTATGAAATTTCTCCTTCTGGAAACATGAAGTGAAAAAGAAAAAAGAGAAAGAAAATACCTTTCACCCCCAACCGGAGGAAAAAGAACTTACAAGCTCTCAAGATCACATTTTGGTTTTTTAAACACTATACATCAAGGTTATATTTTTAATTTGAGGAACCAAAAAACTCTAAATTTTCTCTCATTATATATGCTCTGTAAGACTTATATTGGTATTGGCTAACAATCTTGGAATTTCTTTTATAGTTCTGCATTCAAAAGTTTCATCCTTTATATCCAACTTTTGCTTATTCCAGTCTTGTGCATGTTCATAGTGTTGCAGCTTTGTTATAACCAGTTAACTGGAAGCATACCCAACCAGCTGAGTTCTCTGAAGAAGCTTACAGTTCTAGCTCTTCAATCTAATCGCCTCCATGGTGCAATACCTGCTAGTTTAGGAGATTTGAGTATGCTAACGCGGCTAGATTTGAGCTTTAATAAGCTCTTTGGCTCCGTTCCCACGAAGCTGGCGGAGATCCCTCTCCTTCATGTTCTAGACATCAGAAACAACTCTCTCTCAGGCAATGTGCCTCAAGGTAAACGATCAAATCTTCGTATGTAATTGTCGATTTTGTTCATTTCTTTTTTGGGTTAATATATGCTAGTTGGAGTAAGTTGAACAGTATTTGATTTTGTTTTTTATGTGGTGTATGAAGCTCTAAAGAGATTGAATCAAGGATTCCTCTATGAGAACAATTTGGGTTTATGTGGGGTTGGTTTTTCGACATTGAAAAATTGTAATGCCACTGATCAAGTCAATTCAAACAGACCTGAACCCTTTGGTTCAGGTGGAACCGGTCTTCTAACAAGAGACATTCCAGAAACTGCAGATCTACGGTTGCCTTGCCATGGAACTCAGTGCACACGTTCCTCAAAATCACGACACGGGTCCATTATTGTTGGCATTATTGTCGTAACTGTTGCATTATCTGCTATAGCAATTCTGACATTCACCCAATACCGACGTCGGAAACAAAAGCTTGGGACCTCCTTTAGTATGGTTGATGACAATAATTGTACTGACCAAGGCAAGGGAGTTTACAGGAAGCATGGTTCGCCTCTTGTTAGCCTTGAATATTCCCATGGATGGGACCCTCTTGCTGATAGTAAAAATTTCAATTTGTTCACTCAAGAGGTATTCGAGAACTTTAGATTCAATTTGGAAGAGGTAGAAACTGCTACCCAGTACTTCTCAGAGATGAATTTGTTGGGAAAAAGTAACTTTTCTGCTACATATAAAGGAATTTTACGAGATGGGTCTGTTGTTGCTGTTAAGAGCATTGGTAAAACCAGCTGCAAGTCCGAAGAGGCTGAGTTCTTGCAGGGACTGAACATTTTGACCTCGTTGAAGCATGAGAATTTGGTTAGGCTGAGAGGATTTTGTTGTTCAAGGGGTCGCCGGGAGTGCTTTCTCATTTATGACTTTGTCCCCAATGGGAATTTGCTGCAGTATCTGGATGTGAAGGAGGGTGATGGCCATGTTCTTGAGTGGTCCACAAGGGTTTCAATTGTGAAAGGAATTGCAAAAGGTAGGTTTTGCCGTACGGTTATAATTAGTTCTATCTACTTTTGTGGTTTAGATCAGGAAAGGCAAAATCTTTCTTCTTCGTTACGCTTCAATGAATAAGTAAAATCAAATTAAAGCCATATGTTTCTCACTTCTGTATGCTTTTTTTTTCCTTTGGCTTAACAGGTATTGCATACTTACACGGCTACAAAGTGAATAAACCAGCTTTGGTTCACCAAAACATTTCAGCCGAGAAGGTTCTGATTGACCAACGATACAATCCGTTACTCTCAGATTCCGGTCTTCAGAATCTTCTTACCAATGACATTGTGTTCTCAACCCTGAAATCCAGTGCTGCCATGGGCTACCTGGCTCCTGAATATACCACCACAGGTCGCTTCACAGAGAAAAGCGATGTCTACGCCTTTGGCGTGCTTGTCTTCCAAATCCTTGCGGGGAAACGAAAGGTCTCTAACTTGGTACGTCTTGGAGCTGAGGCTTGCAGATTCCAGGATTACCTCGACCCAAACCTCCACAACAGGTTTTTCGAATATGAAGCCTCCAAGCTTGCGAGGATTGCTTGGCTTTGCACTCACGAATCTCCCATTGAGAGACCATCCATGGAAGGAGTTGTTCAAGAACTGGGTAATTGCAGTAGTTGTGTCTAATAGAATCGGCATTATTGTCATTGGCTGAACCTCTCGAAAAAGCCGGTAATATGATAAGCTGGAGATGGAATTGTAGCTAAACTATTCCATGGATGTTGAATGGAACAATAGGATTTCTCATTGTTATGTGCCTGTTTGCCCAAGATCCTCCTCTAGCTGAGGACAAAGCACAGTCAGAAATGGCCTGTAGTCCCCCGTCACCTTATGGGACTTCATGGGGGGATTTTAGCTTGTAATCACCTCAAGTTTTCAATTGATTTTGTGGCTAAGTTTCTGGAAACTCTTGAGATTGCGGCAAAATGGTTATAAGAATTTTACTTCATAGAAGTCTATTTAAAAATAATTTTTTAATATTAGTTCATAATTAAGGTCTAAATTCACCATGATTATATATTTACAGTACTATTGTAATTAGTATTCCTGGAGATCTATCCTTGTTTTGCTATATATAGAGTATATGGTCTGCCAAAGTTAAAGAGGATGTGAAAAGGCTTTTATGAATTGGAAATACTGATATGGGTGCTACAGGAATTAGGTTTTTTTTAAGAAAAAAGCTGCGAAAGAATGGCTTTGAAGTTAGTCGTAGACTGTATACTTGTTGGTGTATAACTTTTTGATATTTTCAAGTAATTTTGTGATTATGTCTGATAATTATCTAATAATATGTAGTAATTAAGTGATGTTATGTTATAATTGTTTAATATTATATTCATTAAACAAATGCGATTTTGGTTATTAGCTCTCCTTTAAGAGGATTAAATTGGGGTTTTGTGTTAATATTTGTTCTTTTTTTTTTTTTTTTTGTACTTAGGACTGGACCGAACTAAAATTGAAGGACAAAATTTTTCGATAAAAATTAGATTGGACCAAAAATTTGAGTTCGGTCAGGTCTTGTACTGAAGTTGACTGAATTTTGTTTAAAAATTTTAATTTTTAAATATCTTATATATATATATATATAACACCTATATTATTTGTATATTATTATTATTTTAATTTTTAATATTAGTAAAAAAATTAATCATCTATAACGGAAGTGACCAAAAATTTATGTCCAAAAAATTTTAGAGTAAAGATTAAACTCAAAATTTTTGTTAAAATTTTGTAAAATTAAATTTTAAAATAATGTGAAAGATATGTCAATTTGTTTATTTTATTAAAAGAGTTAATATTTTCAAAAAAAAAAATTAATATTTTACTAAAAATTAAATGCAGGAAAAAAAGATGATTAACAAATATTTCATTAATTAGCTGTAATGTCGGAGATTAATTAATTAATTGGACAATTAATTGCTTATAAAGAAAATGTAAGTTGTATTACTTTGTTAATTAAGCCGTCGTAGGAGACAGATTAACTGTACCTCACGTTTCTCCAGCCTCCAGGGCAAAGATAAATAAAAGTAAGCAAAGCTCAAATTTCATGCCAATTAATGAAACCTTTAGGATTATAAGAGCAATGCATTTCCACCAACAGACCTACGGAGACATGTATATATCTATATATATATATATATATATATATATATATATATATATTAGAAGTACTAGCTCTTACGATATTAAAATGATCATTACAATTTGACAATCTTAATAATTATGACCACTTCAACCATAATATCACATGTACGTATCACTTGCTATTTACATTTTGCTAATTCTCTTCACCCTCTAATTTCTAAAAACCAAAACTCATCAAAAAACATAATCTCCGTTTGGTTGCCAGGAAAATGGCACGGAGGGGAAAGAAAATGGATTATATGTAATTTGACTTATCCTCTAAGCTTCAATCTCATGGTGATTCCCTTGTGGAAACCTAACCCTGAAAACATGCTCTTCACCAGTGCACTTATCAATCTTAACAACCCACTGACTTCTCTTCCCAAATCGATTATTATTATCACCTTTTCCGCCATTAACATTACTGTAACTCTCAACAGCATTAGCAGCAATTCTTGTCATCAGCAACCCTTCTCCGATCGGCAGCAACTGAGTCCTAGACCCTCTGCTACACCTCCAAGACCCTTTAGAAAACGCGTTATAACCCACAACGACTGCTCCATTACGCTTCCTTCCAGCTCGAACTGAGTCAAGAACTGACTCGTGGTTATCAAGATTACAGTCAATGAGTACGAACTCGGCTTCGTTATACCGAGTTAGTAGCAGGTTTTGGGCATCCCCAACGACAAACTGGACGTGGCGTGAGTCGACGCCGAGCAGTCTTTTGGATTGGATTAGGTTTTGAAGCTCGTTGAGGATGCAAACCACGCGGCCGCCGGTTTGGTGAGCGGCGGCGACTAGGGCTAGCGTGTAGGAGTAGTTGGCTGCGCCGGCACATGCCACCACCATTAGTTGGGCGTTGTTGCCGGCTGCTAGAGCTGAAAGGAACTCAGACGTGTTGGGTTCTTTAGCCTTTTCACCCTGTAAAAAGATCAGAGAATATATATCAGAAAATTTCCCTATTTGAGGAAGAAGATATATATATATATATGCATGTAGTGTACAATATTTGTGCTTACCATTTTCAAGGTTTTGAGGTAAGCTTTGGTAGCATTCTCAGCAGACCAGCAAGCCATTTTTGTTTCCTTTTTTCTTCTGATAAGTTGATACACCTTTTGGGATTTAGATTGAAGTTGTGTGTATAGGAGCCTTTAGTAGAATATGTGAGATTGTGCTCAAATGATGGATGCCTTTGCTTGCGAGGTCGGGGTTATATATATATATATACATACACACACACGGGTAGGGAAGGTTGGTTATGAGGATCATAAATTAAATAATGCTGAAAAAATGTATGATTGAATCAATTAGCAACTTATTTTTTTAATCAATTAATTATATAGGTTGTCGGGTAGTGTTTATTTTCAAAATATTCCCATTTGAAAAAATAAAAGAGAATCTATATATCTATATGCATATATAAAATACTGTAACAGATCAATATTTGAGGGGGGGAAAATTGATTTTGCAACAAATTATATAAAATTCAAGTTGATTTAGTGGAATGAAAGGTAAACTTCCTGGATCATATGCACCCGTAATTAAATAATAATAATTATTCGAAGTTAATTAATTAAAATGAAATTTTAATTTAATTGCGTAGTGGAACATGAAGGAAAATTATATATATATATATATATATATACCGGGCTGCCGGCCGGGTGCTACCCACATGTCCTATACAGGACAGACACAGACTAAAATTTTCAAACGACATTTATGAGAATATCCAGCAACACATTAAATCATGTTAATATCTTAACATACAAACCTAACAAGCTGGCTCCATGTTAGCTCTGAGCAGCAAGCCAACACCTATTAATAATGTTAATTTTCAGGTTTAATATTATCAGAGACTTATATACTAAAGATCTGCATGTAGTACAATATATATTTGCAATATGATTAGCGTGTATGTGTCTATATATATATATATATATATATACATACCCAGATCATGAATCCCAGTCCTCTTCTGTACGGGCTGCTAAGATTTAAGAATCTCCAAAAATGATTATCTAAAATCAATAATTGAAAAATACTACGGAAGCTTTGAGCTGTTTTTAAAACTAATCAATTTTTTATATCGTCCGAATTTTAATCAATAAATAACACAAGTACACTTTAATATTTATTTGGTTTAGTTACCAACCCATTAATTTAATTACTTCATCGTAATTTAATTAATCATAATAATTATAAACAACTTAAACCATTTGAGTTATAATATAATCTTTAATTCCAAAAAAAATTTCTTGAGAAAAAACAAATTCCCCCATGAGAAATGAACAGTATTGATATGTCGCATTTGGACACTTCTTTTCACATAATTGAATGAACATAGAGCAGTGCATGAATCTTTCCTATGCATGTAACCCATAAAATTAGCTATGGAGATATACAGATTTGACTGAACATGTAATGGGTGTTGTCTTGCATGGCCTCTTCTTGACTCGTCTCATCCAAACAAAGCTTTATATCTATACACACATCCTTCAAACCAAGAAAAAGACAAAAAAAATAATTAAAGCTTTAATTAATTCTATTAATTTGATTAATAATTTTAATTAAGTGATAATCTCTCCACCATTAATCCTCTACAGTCTACAGCGAATTAGCTGGCCCGAGAGACAAACGCAGATCTAGATCCGATCACGTTGTTTCCTTCCCCCATGCATTAATGTTCTTGTCTTATGGTCTAGGCTTCTTGCATTATTGTTATTATATATTTAGAGGTCCCATTTGTCTGATTCCACAAAGTAGCTGCTTATATATATATATATATATATATAAATCTTGTGTATTTGGTAGAAGTATTCAAAGATTTAGTAGACTGATGATTGGATTGCGAGGAAATTAGCTAGAAATATACACATATACATACATATATATAAAGAAAAGTAATGAGATGAACGTGCATGGAAGGTTGAGAAGGTGGTGAGAAATGGGGAGAGTGTATGAAGATTCTGTTGTGAATGGGTAATGCATCCTTGGAGGAGACATGTTTGCATGGGTCAAACTATATCTAATTTAATTTAATCCATTTTTAAATGCCATATATATGTAGATATGCTCTGTATATAGTGTGTATACGTATATAAAATTCTTATATTTGTTCTTAACTTAATTATAATTGATTCACAAAAAAAGGGTTTAAAGTGTATCATATTTTGTATACGTGTGTGCATGTGTGCACGTGTGATGATCTGTGTATGAATATACAATATAGATTGAATACCAATATTTTCTTGTTAATTAATTGCCTATTTACAAACAATGTTTTAATTTAATGACGTACTACATCATTTATTTAAAAAAAAAAATTATAAGCTGAGTTGAGTTAGTTTTTTCTTGTGTATTCTCGTTTAAAAGTTTTTTATATTATGATTATTAATGTATATATATCATATATCATATATACTTACAGAAAAAGAGAATGTAAGCATTATATCTTACAGAGGCGTAGGCCTTAGCCCATGAATACTAATGGACTTGGTATTACCTTCATATCAAAAGATAAAAAGCCCAAGAAAACTGTCTAAGCCCAATGTAGCCTAATCCACTCGGCCTTGTCCAATTGTACCGACAAAACGGTGCCGTAGCCCTGCACCAATTTACCTTTTCCACTTTTCTTTTTTCTTTTAAAAAAAAAAAAAATTAGTCCACCGTTCTCTTTTCCATTTGGTCAATGACAGAGAAAATATTTCAATTAAAACAAAAAATTAGAACAGAAATTTATTTGAAATTAAAATTTTAATTATTAAAAAATCTGAAATTTAGTTTTAGTCCGTTAAGAGTTAACGGAAAGCAGGCGTTAGCACAGAAGGGCGAAGTTTCCTTCTCTGTGCATACGGTACACTACAGAAATCTGAATTAACCGTGCATCACGTAATCCAAACCGTTCATTTCGACGACCACGCGAGTAGAAATATTGACTTTTTTTTTTTTTTAAAAAAAGAAATATTTAATATACTAAAGAAAGAAACCGTAATCCCAAAGGCGGGACCCACTCGTGTCTTTCCGTTCAAGTAGCGCTGCCGCGTAATTGACATTTTCTCCTCAGAAACTAATCGTCTGTTCTCCACCGATCGAGCGGGAGAAGATGGGAAATTCCTTTTGCTTATTCTGTGGGTGCGTGGAGCAAGCGAGCATAGGGGTTGTAGAGAGGTGGGGTCGGTTCGAGAGATTGGCGCAGCCAGGTCTTCACTTCTTTAACCCCGTAGCCGGTGAGTGGCTCGCCGGAGTCCTCTCCACCAGGATCAGCTCACTCGATGTTCGCATCGAGACCAAAACCAAGGTATATTCTCTGTAAATGTAAATAATTTCTGTTCTTTCTACTCATAAACAGATAATTCGGGTGTTAAATGGAGATGTCAAGAGAAAATGATAGGTTTTTCTATTTTACACGGACAGAATTATATGTTGTTTTACCTTTTATGGATGAATTTTGTCGTGGTTAACGAAGTCTAGTATTTGGAATGATGTGGTTTACGGGAATTATGGATTTTTCTTGTAGGATGTCTAAGGATTTTGTTTGGTATTGTTGAAATTTGTGATTTGTTATGTATACGTTTTAGTGCTCAAAGCTTCTCGTTGGGCAGAATTTTGAGTTGTCTGTGGAATTCTCTTGAATTTCAAGTAAATTTCATGAGAAGGGAATTTAAAATGCGGAAGCATAAAACAATTCTTATGCCCTAGTGACTAGTTGGTGACATTATGAACATATTTGCTAAGCATTGGCCTTCATCACTTAATTTCGTGAAGGCAATTTACATGGTCATCAGCTAATTTTACCTCATGTAAGCGATGTTGGCATTAAAGATACTAGTACCGTTGAGGATAACAAAACCTATAAGCAAAGCTCTTAGAGAATGGCATCTTTGACACTCCGATGAATCACATGCTGAGCCTGAATTTATATTGACCATCATGATATGAAGTAAAGATGAAAAGTAACGCTGAAATTTGTTAAGATGGCATAAATATGTTCTGCTTATTCTTAGTCAATAGTAGAATGACAGCCCTTTGTGTTGCAGGACAATGTCTTTGTGCAACTTCTTTGCTCAATTCAGTACCGAGTAGTCAAACAAAATGCTGATGATGCATTTTACGAGTTGCAAAACCCCCAAGAGCAAATCCAGGCTTATGTATTTGATGGTAATTTTTGTTATCCTTGACATGTATAGCTCTGTTATTGCATATATTTTTCCTGGTTCTACTACATGCTAATATACATGATTTTGGTGTAAAAGTGGTTCGAGCTATTGTTCCAAGAATGACATTGGATGAGCTCTTTGAACAAAAGGGTGAAGTTGCAAAAGCTGTTTTGGAGGAACTTGAGAAGGTAATTTAAGGTTTTCGCTAGATAATTTCATTTCGTTCATAGATTAAGGCATCCATCACATATGAAAATCCTGTACATATTTCCTAGTCTTTTTGCTCTTATCTTTCTAACTTATTAATTATAAAGAATATATAAATTAACTTCCTGTTTGACTGAAATTATACCTAAAAGATGTTTAGAACCTTCCAAAGATGATATGCACATAAAATAATAAGAATTTGCTCGTTGAAGTCTTATCCATATAGTAATATGCAACCTTTTCCTGTTTTTGATATTTGGGGCCGTTTTTCAGGTGATGGGAGCTTATGGGTACAGCATAGAGCACATTCTTATGGTTGACATCATACCTGATCCTTCTGTGCGCAAGGCAATGAATGAGATAAATGCAGGTGATGCCTTTGTCCATAAACTCTGGGTTCCCTGTTCAACAAGGACTCACCTTTCCCGAAAACAAGGGGTCAGACTATGAGATGGTTTGATATTGTCCAGTGGTTTTTTACTAATGCAACAGAATCAATATAGTGAAAAGATAGATGGTTAGGGTGTTAACTAGTATTTTTTAACTCATCTGGACAAAATCTTAAGGACTTGGATGATCTTCATTAAAACCAGTTCTTACCAGGTCTAATAGTTTGCATCCCTCTATATATTCCTTTATTCAGATCACATTGTCTCAACTCCCTTTTCGCCTTCCCCCCAATCGTCCCATTTCCAGCATAGTACTTATTTTGGAACTATGGCACTTGAGGGAACTCTGATTGTCTTTTATTTCATTCCTCATAACTATCAATTTCATATTGCAGCTCAGAGGCTTCAGCTTGCTAGCGTATATAAAGGTGAGGCAGAGAAGGTGCTCCAGGTGAAGAAAGCAGAGGCTGAAGCAGAGGCCAAGTTCTTAGGCGGAGTTGGTGTAGCAAGGCAAAGACAGGCCATCACTGACGGATTAAGAGAGAACATCTTAAACTTTTCTCATAAGGTGGAAGGCACGTCCGCTAAGAGTGATGGATCTCATAATGATCACCCAGTATTCGATACCATAAAGGATCTTGGCAACTCATCAA